TTAATATGACATATTGGGCCGATCTATTTACTGCAATAGTTTTAGATACATTGTATAATAGTGTATCTTCTTCATTATAAATAGCATAATTGAAATAAAAAACATGTTCAATAGAACTTGGTGTTTTTGCTATTACTATATATCCACCAAAAGAAAGTGCTCGAGTATCAAAAGATTCGTTATACATGATCAGTGTTTGATTAAATGTTCTTACAGCCCCGGAAGAAAGAAAACGGATTCTTATAGCAGCACTGGTTTTGTTGGTAGTAGTGATATTAGATCGATTCGTTACAGTTGTGACAACTGGCATAGTCGTCATCGCGATTGCAGAAGTTATAGTTGTTATTGATACATTAAGAATCTCAGTAGTATAATTTTGATACATATCTACAGGTATTATGCATGAATGGCCAATAGAAACATAATCGACAGAGCAATATATACTATCGGAAAATCCTAGCTGATTCGGCGATTCATGTAAAACAATTTTTGGAGGTGTTTTAGTTTGATTATTGGTTAAGAATATAGCATATATTCCTGAATGTGAAGAAATAACGCTAGAATTTGTATAAATCACAGTTGAGTTAGCGAATACAATCGTATATCCACCATTCAAAGTTGCAATTACAGTGTAAGTATAGGAAAGAATATTTTCTGGTGACATATATATTGTATCATTCTTTAATAAATTGAAGACTCCGTTGCCCGTACTAAAAAAAAAAAAAGATCCTTGTATATGAGTATGTAATTGATAAATGTTAGTATAAGAATGCAACATACTGTTCAAATTGACTCCAGTTAGCATTAAAAGTTCCAGTTACTCCAGATAAACGTAAAAATCCTTTTTGAGCGTCGATATTATTTACTAGTTTTTCGCTTCGGATCCACTTATTAGTGCGCGGATGTAAATAAGATGGTCCAAAATTGATTTCACTGTTATAATGTATATCAGGTTAATAGAAATAATTAAAAGTCCAAAGGACTATAAGGAGTGATTATCGTTAGTAAACAATTGATGCCGATATACATATGAACAACTAGTGATGGGTAAATTAGCCTTTTTTCAAATTTCATGCGAGATTCCGAAAACTCTGAAATATTCTCATGCGCATGGGCGCATCAACCAATCAAAATCCATTGTCTTAACAGTATAGTCCTTCGAAAATTTATAGTACATAATATTTAAATTCAACAAACCTTATAAATTTACCGCTCCAATCTATAACCATTCCCACGTCTGTGTAAGTTGTTTTATCGGAAGTATTACTTGCATTAACATACGTAATTAAAATGTATTTATCAAATAATGGATATAAATGTATAGGATTTGAATTTTTATTAACGCAATAATTTATATATTGTATATTCTCAAAATTGTCAGGATTTATTTCAATAACATTCCCATTTGCTTGAATGACACGAATTAATAATCTCTGTTCATAACATAATACAGGGTCTTCAATGTTTCGACGACCAACGCGAAGCACAGTCGTGCCTTCACTGTCATCATAACGCCTAAAAGAGATAATAATAGGTTGTTTCCCAGTAAGATTAACCTGAGGAGACTCTTTTTCTGTATATGTAAAGGTTGAATTGTCTACACTAATTTGCGCAAATCCTGTTGACAAAACGGTCAACAAGAAAATAGTAATAAGTGCAAAATTACACGGTAATTCATCATTTGTTTAAACTGACATTTAGTAAGATATTTTGAGTTTAAATTAAAATTTTCGGTCTTGATTCTAACTGCTATAGCGATAAACTTGATGATTGTGCTGTCATGAATTAGAAAATTTTTAAGATCATTCGATTTTTTCATGGTGTAACTTTTCTGCGTTCTTTCATCACCGCCGCGACACCAATAGGTGTAACGTAAATAAAAAAAACCATATGATTGTATGAGCGCGAAATAACGCGCTTAATTTAGTATTTACGTTCATGTGCATCATATCGAGTTCATTTTAAATACATAACCTAATTTAATGAAGAAGATACACTATTATACAATGTATCTAAAACTATTGCAGTAAATAGATCGGCCCAATATGTCATATTAA